TGCATCAAAAGACAATCCATAAAGGTCTCAAAAATTACGTATGCGATAAGTGCGAAAGAAAATTTGGACGAAAATCGCATTTGCTTTCCCACCATCGGATAGTACACGAAAATTATAAAAAATTCGCTTGCGACAGGTGCAAAAAAAAATTTGGAAAAAAGTCGAATTTGCTCTTTCACCAAAACGCAGTACACAAAGGTCAGTAAGATTACATATGTGGAAAAGGCGACAACAAATTTGGAGTTCAAAGCAACATGATAAGTCACCAAAAAATATGCCACGAAGTTTGTAATCAGATAACGAACGCAACAAGAGTAGGAGTTGAAATAAATATGATACCCGATCGAATTTAAGTTGACACCGAAAGGAGCTCATAAAATTTACAAAAACTACCTATTGGACAATCCTGTTGGACCTGTTGGACAAAAAATTAGACAATAAATGGACAGCAGTGGAAAATTACGAAATGATCATATAAATATTGTACTTGCTCGAACATTGTCGGGCAATGTATAAGCAATGAAATCGGTAACTTCATTGTAAACAATGTGATCATAAACTTTTTCAATATTATCCTTCGAAGTACTAGTTGTATTAAATTGTAAAAACAAATTAGTTTGAACGTTGTCTTTGTCGATAATACAAGCCTTAATATCAAAAGATAAATTTTACGTATTTAATTTTATAAATAGAAGACCTCGTCGTTTAATTTAGGTACTAAAATGGATAAAAGTGAAAAGAACCCCGACGAAGATGTTTTAGCAAATAATTCCAGTGGACACGAAATTGTTGTTTCGTCGAAACAAGAGAATTTTGCATGTGACAGGTGCGAAACAAAATTCGATTTCCGAAGTCATTTGAGTAGACACCAAAAAACAGTACACAAAAGTAGTAAAGATTTCGCATGCGACAAGTGCGAACAGAAATTTGAGTTTCGAAGTCATTTGAGTAGACACCAAATATCGGTACACAAAAGCCGCAAAGATTTCAAATGCGACAAGTGTGAGAGAAAATTTGAATCTAAATCAACTTTACTTAAGCATAGAAAAATATTTCACGAAGTTTTCAAAGATTACTTATGTGAAAAGTGCGCCAAGAGATTTGGAAATAAACACAGTTTGCTCTTACACATAAAAAGAGTCCATGAGCACCACAAAGCTCGTTGTCGCAGCAACCGCGAAAATCGTAAAGAATTCGCATGCGACAGGTGCGAGAAGAAATTTGGAAGAATATGGAATTTTATCAGACACCAAAAGACAGTACACGAGGGTCCCGAAAATTTTGCATGCGACAACTGCGGGGAAAAATTTATAAAAGAATCTAAATTTATCTTCCACCAAAAGACAGTGCACAAAATCTTTAAAGATTACGTATGTGACAATTGCGGGAAGAAATTCAGACGTAAATGTCATTTGCTCTCGCACATAAAAGCAGTCCACGAAGGTTGCAAAGGTTACGAATGCGACAAGTGCGAGAAGAAATTTTACCAAAAATCATATTTACTTTTACACCAAAAGGCAATGCATGAATATCGTAAAGATTTCGCTTGCGACAAGTGCGAAAAGAAATATGTAAATCAAAGCCAGTTAAATAGACACCAAAAATTAGCCCACGAAGGTCGGAAAGATTTTGCATGCAACAAATGCGAAAAGAAATTCGGACTTAAATATCGTTTATTTTTACACCAGAAGACAGTTCACGAAGGTCGTAAAGATTTTGCATGCGATAATTGCGAGCAAAAATTTGAACGACATTATGCTTTGATCAGACACCAAGAGACAATCCACGAAGGTCGGAAAGATTATGCATGTGACACGTGCGAGAAGAAATTTGGAGATAAACATAATTTAATTAGACACCAAAAATTAGTCCACGAAGGTCGGAAAGATTTTGCATGCAACAAATGCGAGAAGAAATTCGGACGTAAATATTATTTGCTTATGCATCATGATATGGTACACGAAGGTCGCAGAGATTATGCTTGTGATAAGTGCGAAAAGAAATTTGCACAAAAAATACAATTGTTCAGACACCAAAGGACCGTCCACGAAGGTTGGAAAGATTTTGCTTGTGACAAGTGTGAGAATAAATTTTCACAAAAATCGAGTTTGCTCTCCCACCTAAAGACGGTACACCAAGGTCGGAAAGATTACGCATGTGACAAGTGTGAAAAGCAATTTTCAAACAAACCGAATTTACTGAACCATCAAAGGATAATCCACGAAGGTCGTAAAGATCACGCATGCGACAAGTGCGAGAAAAAGTTTGGATATAAATGGTATTTGCTCTCCCATCAAAAGACAGTCCACGAAGGACGTAAAAATTACACATGTAGAAAATGCGAGAAGAAATTTGGAGTTCAAAGCAATTTGATAAGTCACCAAAAAATATGCCACAAAGTTTGAAAAAATAACGAACTGAGGCTATGACAAATTTGAGTTGACACCGAAAAAAGTTCATAAAATTTACAAAAACTACCTATTGGACAATTCTTGAAGATAGTAAAGATTACTTAAGTTATTAACGCGATTAAATTTTTGTATACAAACGCAATTTTATTTTCTACATTTGATTGGCACACAAAAGTTAATTTTTTGAATGTAACAGTTGAAACAAAAAATAAAACATGCACATGGGAATGATTTTGATAACTATTCTGACAGACCGATTATTAACACTATGCAGAAACGTGATCGGTAATAAAAATATGTTCTTACTGAAAAACCAACGTGAAACCATTGAATAAATGAATTCATTTTATACCACTAATTGTTCTCTAACTTCTTTCACTACATCATATAGTCTCCCGTACTTTTATCTATCCGAAATTTGATTCTAAAAAGCTACAAATTTTTATTTACCCTATTTTCAAAAATTATCCCCCCCCCCCTTAACACACGAACGACATATTTTCTAATCCACCACTCCTGTCGGTACTTAGCCCTGCACACTAATTTTCCATCCATCGAGAAAACGAGCTCGAGTGTATTAGTGTGTGTAGCGCACACAACGATCGGGCTAATCGATCCCCGTGATAAAATACGTGCACCACGGCTATTCGTCCCGGCGCGTTGTATACAGGGCGCCCTCATCACAGGGCTATTGTTAATTATCGCCCTCGAGTTTCCTACAGCGTGGGGTTTGTTGGCCGCTCTTATATATTATATATAACTCAACTATACGTATACGTATTTTTTATTTCTTATATCGTCGTTATTATGTTTTGACACATATTTTCACGACGTATATAGTTATCAAATCTTCGCGTTATACGAATCATTAGATAATTCTCTTACGACTCGTCGCCAGCACACCCCAAGTTGCGAAGGATATCGCGCCGTCGTTCGTCTCCTGGACCATTAGTTACATCTTACTTATCCCGCCCGCCCGTCCTGGATTATAATATAGATAGCTTGGCAGGATTCAGCCGAGAAATCATGTGCTCGTGCAGGTCGTCGAGCGATAATCGTGTGAGCTGCTGCTGCGAGCGGCGCAGCGTACACACACACACACACCAAGTTTCTGCCCGCGAGCTCTACTGCTCGTACATCCTCCTCCTTCTTCACCCCCCCGTCTATTTCCGACTTTATTTGACTTTGTAATTAGACAAGTTGAAAATTAATAGCTGCGCACACGAGGCGCAGGCCGCCGCCGCCGCCTCCTCCTGGAATCCGAGAAGATACTCTGTGCACATACACATAGAGTGTGCTTTGCTAAAGCTCGATCGTGTGTATACATCCTCTCAAAGAGCAACTATCCAACGTCGCGCGCGACGAAATCACCGTAATCTCGGATATATATTTTGATTTTTTTTCGTTCTTATACGTCGAATCAAGCGCGATAATAATACAGTGAAAAGAGTTATATACTCCGTTTCTCGAAGTCAATCCAAGGAAAATTTAATGGCTCGGAATTGCTCGCGATCGCGAGTCGAAGAGCAAGCAGCAGCAGCGAATCTAGGGGGATGAGAAAAGGCCGAGCGAGTTATTTCATTACCATCCTCTTCATTCGTCCGTATACATCGCGTTTCCATTAATTTTTAATTGTTATGAAACTCTTTTATTTTTTAATGCTATCGCGAATTAGAGAAGAGAGCCACTGTACTATATACCGGATGGCAAGACAAGGAGGAGAAAAAAAAAGGAGAGAACAGTAGCAGCAGCAAGTTGGCTCTTTCAAGAATATTACAACGTCGAGTCTCGAGCTGTTCGTTCGTCGTCGGCTAGCTGGCCCGAGAACTTTTAATAGGTTTCATCGTAATATACGTGCGAGCTATATAAGGGATCTTCTCTTTCTTTCTTTTTTTTTTTTCATTCCTTTTGCGCTCGAAGGACTCCCCGTGCATAAATGCTCTCATTCGATTTGCGGCAATTCGCTCTCTCTCTCGAGCAGCAAAAAGGGCTATAACTAGGCAAATAAAAAAAAAATATATCCGCCACCAAAGGCGATATCCTGGAGAGCGAAGATTCGCCTGGTATAACCAATGTCGATGTATAGGCACTCGTCGTTCCGAAGCTGCAGCCGCACGTTCGATTTGCCGCGAGCGCCAGCACAGAGAGAGAGAGAGAAAATCGACGAAAATAGGCAATTCAAACGACGCGTGAAACGGCTTTGACCATTTTTTAGACGACGATTTTCGATGGTAGCCCAGCCGAGAGAGCCGCTGCGTACGATCGTTTCTCGACTCTTTCCACATATCCTAGCCATTTCGGCTCGTACGTACACGCGCCGCAAGCTCGCGATCATAATAGGCAGATAACTCGGCCGTATTCGCTGGACACCGACTTTTCGTATACGCGAGTCCGAACTGTAAACACGCTAAAACCCGCATCTGCGAATCGTCGCGTATGAATTATAATACACGATCTCGTCGTAATGCGAAAATTATCGATATGGCAGTTGGTACATTAGTTGTCGTACATAGAGAAGGGTAGAAACTTTTTTACCGCGATATATGTACAAAACTTTGTGCAAAAGTTTATGTTTCGTATAATAATCACCTGCGAGGGGAGAAGCAGCGGCGGCGAGTAGCAATAGATACAACAGTTGCATCTCTTTGGGGTAGTAGCGCCGGCTACTGTCGCGACTCTGCCGTTGCTGATGCTTCTTCGACATTGTATGTGTACTCGATGATCGTCGATGCACTTTTAATCGATCACATCACACACACGCAATACACATGTAATGAAGACGCACTGATTTTTTAATGGCCTGCACGAGTCATGATGACATATAACGGCCTCGAAATTCAGTTAGAAAAGCTCCTAAAAGAAAACACAATCTGTATCGCACTGTTGATTATGTATCAGCCACTGGCGCACGACACGTGTAGCTGTAGTACGAAGCACTGCAGCATCGCAGTAATTGACAAAAAATAAATAAAAATTAATTCCGCTTCATCCAAAACGATTTATGCGATTCATCTCGAACGTCACACTCATTTAAAGATTATAAATTTGACGTTTACCCGATAATACGGGAGAGCCGCAAAGAAAGTCGCGCCGTATATGTACCAATGCTGCGGGTGAGCGACGTGCACTTGCGTAGAGCAGGAGCGCGAGAGGCAAACTGACGATTATATGCTGCTGCTGCTGCTGCTCTACGGTGCCCGTGCCATAGACACAGAGAGAGAGAGAGAGAGAGAGAGAGAGCGCCGCCGAGTCGAAAGCGGAGTGGAAGCGCGCGCGCAAGCCGCCGACCGACCGAAGCCGGTCTCTCTCTCTGTCTCTCTTGTACCCCCACGCACACACATACACACTCGCGCTTACGCACACTTTGGTATTGCGCGTGGTACAATCAGAGAGCACCCCCAGCAAAGAGAGAGCGAGACTCGCAGCGCGCAAAACGTAGATATATACAATACAGAGCCGAGCATCGAGTGATCCGTCTGTGCAGATATACATACGCGGTTCGTATGTATATGTTTACCTCGCGAATACACGATATCCGTTTGTGTCGCGTGTACGTATAATACTTTTTGACGCAGTTTTGTTGTTTTTTCGTTTTTATATATACGGTCGCGTGTATCATCATCGGTCAAAAATCGGCTCGACGCGCAGCGTATATATGTATTCAAAGTCACGCGCAGGAATCGGGATCATCCCTTCGCGCGCGTGCCGCGTATTATAATACAGTCCAAAGTGTAATCTATACGTCGTTCTAGTTTACAATGATTGATATATCGCGCGACTGTACTCGCCTCTCCGCCCCTTCAGCTGTAATCTCGATAAGTTTTGGAGACAGCTACTCCTTGTAAACTTTAGATCTATCAAAGTTCAATTATTACGCGAGCCGAACTTACGAGCCAGACTCGAAGATCGTAATGAGAGGAATCGGATCGATGTGTAGCCTCGTTGTCTCTTCTCGATCGCGCACGCGATATCTATCTCGCAAGCTGTTCTACAACTATAACAGTTGCGCGAATATTATTATCATTATATTTTTTCTCCTATTCAGCTTGTTTCCATACACATATACATGACTTTCTGCTTAATTACTAATACGCAGTATACGGAAGTAAGTACACAGTAATATCGACCGAATGTACACGTCTGCCGAATTGTGCGCAAAATTTCGAGCCAAGTAATATCGGAATGATCGATGTTGGTTGACGCACGCACACAAGGCCTTGTACCACTGTACATAATGACTACGTACGTATGTGTGTGCAAACTGTATACACTACCGGCCACACTGGATACGAACTAAATTAGGCTTTTGCACGCGCCTATCGGACTTTACGCCTAGGCACGCGTATATGTACCGATATTACGCGACATACGCACACGTGAAAGAGATTAATTTAAAGGAGGCGCACGAGGCCCGCAAAGTCCGAGAGTCCGAGGACGTATGTTCGTTTGCGGACGCGCTCAGAGGGGAAGGATCGCGTATGGGTGACTTTATATTATATACCTCGTGCGCGTCACGTGTGTATACGGACGCAAAATTATACGTATATAAAGTCGCACGGGGCACGTCGCGCGTTTCTTATTATATATACACGGCCGCCCCCGCGAGCATCGACACGCACGAGTTTTCCGAGGGGCGAGCGAGCGACCGGTATACAGGCGCCATATCGCACAGTACACGTGGTCTGGCCGGTAAAGCAATTAATCCGAGTGTGCCTGAGTCGTATAAGGGAGCCGAAGTTCATATCGTACGACACGAAAGCACGCTAGAGACTCGTATTACGCAATACAGTGGATGTAAACGGTCAAAAGTCACGGCGTTCCTGCGACGTTGTTATGGATTTTTTATGAACTCTCCAAAATTTTAATTTACGTTTACACACGGTTCATCGGGAATTTCATTCCGAGTTCGTACCGATTTACAACGAAGCGTTGTAGTACGCGACGTACTATATCGAAAGCTCGCGTTACTCTCTGGCAATAATTTCGCGTTGATCAAATAACACCAATCGGGGAAAGACACTACGGAGCTTTTATATTGTATACACGCGCGCGAAAAAAAAAAATAAATAAATAAAATCGAGGCCACCCGGGCACGCGCTACTAAAGGGCGAGGGCGTGTACCTGATCAGAGAGCTAGAGCTCTCTCTCTCTATAAAAGCTCGCACAGGCCACGTATAGAGCAAAAGAGAGAGAGAGAGTGAGACGGGCGATATATATACTTCTCTATAGCCCAAAAAGGCACTGCTACTGTATTATATATAGGTGCCCCGCAAGCTCGCGCTTCTTCTTCTTCTTCTAGCAGCTCACATCCATTATCTCGTGTCTCTTACCTCTTCGATTTCTCATTCACTTTATCCTTGGTGAGCTTTTGGCGTTCTCTCTCTCTCTCACTTTTCTGGCTTTTATCGATTTATCCGCAGTGGTAGCGGTAGCGGCAGCGTTCATCCTTCCACTCGTTTTAGTCCTGACGTATGTACGCGTAAACTGAAAAGCTCGGGGGCTGCTGCTGGCTGTATAAAGAAGAAAAGCAGCAGCAGCGGTGGTGGTGGTGGTGGCTGCGAGTCGCTAATGGACCACCCTCCTGCTGAGTGTACGTAGCACTAGCTCCAGTAGGTATAGCGAGAAGCTCGTATGTCTCTTCCTTCTTCGCAGCTCGCAGAGATCGTCTCTGTCTGTGTGTGTGTGTGTGTGTGTGCTTCGGTGCTCTTTTCACCGTCTATATTACACACACACATCCACACTGATATATATACTATTATACGCGCACGCACACGGCAGAACACGTATACGTACTTTGGGGAGCTGGTGAAAAGTATACACATATATATATTATACGCTATCGTATTTCTTTGGTATTTCTACCTGACTGAATGTCTGAATGGCTCGCTAACTGCGCACGTGCCGCGCTGCACTATGCGCACAGCTGATTTAGTTTGCGCAATTTCGCGATAATTCGAGTACATAATAATAAATATAAACTTGAGCTTGAGTGCGCCAAACGATGCCGATGCATGACGATGATTTTCCACTATATGGTCGTTCGCTCGTGCGAGCTCATCGATTATCGAGGCGTTAAGAAGCTCATCCAGTTTTCAAACGGTTTATACGCGATGCACGATATATAATGGCTCTTTTGTCCGACGCCGCTCGCTCGCGAGAGCGCGTCGAAACTTTGCGCGCGTACATTAATGGAAAATATCGAGCTGGCAACGCGCGTTCGTTCGGATTTATTCATTTTTTCCGTACCATCGCCGCCGCATCTTGTGGCAACGTTTAAGCCGGAAATGACACTCGTATGCAGGCGGGTCCAGCTGCTGATCTTATACGCGCTCGCGCACCGGCTTCAAATATATACATACCCGGTTTATATATCGTTGATAGTCGCGAGCGATGGAGCAAATGTATAACGATGACGCGGTTATATACTTGGCGCGCAGTTCGTGTACATATGTACGTGTTTATAGTAGAGTTGGGCAAGCGCGTGTAATATGTGCGTGTTATATACCGAGCTAGCTGCTGCTCCTGCGCTTGTTCTTTCCAAAGATAACACGATAAGGAGGACGAGCTGCCGCTGCTGAACAGACGAGCTGCAAACTTATCCTATCGAAAGTTTCTCTCTCTCTCTCGCGCGTCGCTGCCACCTCGCTTGGGTTTTGAGACTCGATACGTGTATATCAGCGTAGATAGTAATAATAATAATAATAATAATAACAACGATAATAACATTAATAATTGCTTCTGACTTAGCTTATAAAGAAGTATCAGGTTTTGCTGCCCTTTCTACAACTATTTTTTTATACCATCTAAAATCATTTGCTTAATTAGATTGATTGTGGCGTTCAAAATTTTAAAATTTGTTGAAACTCTATTTGCAAGTAGAATAATGATTTGTCCATGGAGATGGCTCGTACATTTCCATAACATGCCTATCTCGCACGATTTCAAGATACTCGCAAACACAACATCATATATTTTCGGTTCAATCTAAACGAATATATGTATGAATTTAAACAACCCAAATTAGCGATAAAAATCGTAACTACAATGTAAAACTTTTTTCCATTTGAAATTAACAATTTATTTCAATTTTCATCAATTCATTTTAATTCGATCGGTGTAAAATGAAAAATTTCATTTCATTTCTAATGTAAAACTTTCGAATAGTGGAATTGGCCTGACTGTTTCAAAATGATTAGAAAAGTACTCTTTTTCAACTTTGCAGGGCAGAATTTAAAATAATTGTGCACAACTTAATTGACCTACCAAAATACAAAACATTTTAGGAAAATCAATATTTTATTAACACTAAATGTCATTTTCAAACTCTTTGGAAAAGAAGAAAATTTAAAAAAAGGTACTTTTCTGAGGATTTTGAGTCCTCAACAAAATCTTCTCGATAAAAATGAAGGAGATATAGCCATTTGAAAATTGACGACAATTCAATAAAGTTGCGATAATTTTATTGCGAATTGTATTCATATAAAATATTAAGAGTGTGCGGAGACTTTGCCGACTCAAATTTTCGATCTGTTGATGAGACATCCGGACCAATATTGAAAGTATATTTTTGCTTATTTGTATTTGTCAATTTAAGTTTATGAGCGCGGGAATACGATGTTGACATTAGGCTAATTGTACGTTTGTGTAACTGTCAGTACTGATAGAAGCGCGATTATGCTCAGTCGTTATTTCACGATCAGATTGTAATATAAATTAGTACATTCTAAATAAAATAGTTATATTATTCATCAATTAGCGAATAGTTTCGAACACATTCTTTCATCGTTATCAGAGTATTTAAGGCAACGAAAAAAATGTTTCTAGATGTAGACAATCCGTGTTATTTATACGAAGATATCAATGCTGGCGTTCTTATCAGATTAAGCGATTACATAATTACCAATGACATTAAAGAAGAAAATTTAGAAGATGAAAGAGTTTTAAGTGATATGTTACGTGCTTCAGATAGAAGATATGTCGACATTGATCCCATTACATCTAAACTATTGAATGAATTTAAAGATAGGATTCTTGGTTCAACATTTTATGAATTGACAAAAATGCCTCTTTATCGTATAAATCGTGCCATATTGAAGGTCGCTTGCGTTGAATATGTACTGTATCCTGATGAAGTTAATGAAGAATATGAAAAAATATATCGTTGCGACGAACGAAAAGTGATCGAGGCATATAATGATTTGCGTGGTTTTCGAAAAGAAAATATACCCGACGATAAAACCGTCGTGGGTGTTAAAAATTTTTTTCAAGGCGAACCATTTTTTTGGGATAATCTTTCGGAACCATTTGTTGAGAATAATCTTTTGGAAACAATCAGATCATATTTGGAAGGTATTTCGATCGACGAAGCTAGAAAACTGTTTATACAACGTAAATCAATTGAAATAATGTGAGTAAATATTTGGAAAATAATTAAAATAATTTTTTACTCCAATATTAAATTTCAATTTCAGTGAAGGTAAGCCACCGAACATGCATTACATGCCGAGCAAGTATGACTCCGATGATTAGAAGGTGTGCCAACCATCAGCAAATATAATCATGCCCATCGAAGATCATCCACCAATATTGCTCACAAAAGACTAGCAGCCACATTCACCTACTCCGCAGATGTCTCATCGGTTTCAAACTGATTTTACAAGTGCTTAGTATTTTTTTAAATGTATCATTGTACCTATATTACACAAATTTTTATATATTTTCCTTCAAATGTAATCGCCCAAAAAAAAAAAAAAACTATTATTTATCTATTTATTCGAACTCATTGGCTAAACTAAGGATGATTCAGGAATCATCCACAAAATCGTTCACATTGTAACTTGAATTTTTCAACAGACATTGCGTCACAGTTTTGCGCGTTGAATGACACACGCAAGCTGTGTCCAAATTTTTCTTACTTGACAATACAGCTCCTTGAAAAATGTAGATCAAGTATAGGAATTAACCTTTTTATAAATAAGATTCAAATTTCTAAAAATTATGAAAATATAGGATACCCAAATATTCAAATTTTTGTTTGATTTATTGATATATTCTTTAAGCATAATAATTTACATTTTTCACGTTTTGCCAATAGTGGAAATGTTTATTAAATTTTAATTTAACTAATAATTAATTGGTTTACTTATTACATTTCATAAATTACGAACATAAAAAATAAGCACATTTTTGATTTTGAATATTTAAAAATTCTGAGTTGGGAATATTTCGGTTCTATAAATATATTGTTTATTTATTGCACTAAATCTATTGCGAATTAAACATTTTATTTAGTTATTATATCAATAAAATCGTTTATATTCTGACAAATATTCAGGTAAACTAACATTTTTATTATATTGAAATCTGCAAAAAACTAAAATTTTAACAATAATTAAATTGCACAAAGTTTCTAATAGAGTACATGGAATTTAAAGATTGATTACATTTAAAGATTGATAACATTTACCGTAACTTAAGTTAAATTTAATGTATTATTTAGTGTTTCATTTTATTTTTTCTTCGAAATCAAAACAGTTAGTACAATTCTAAATTTTCTTGAATTTTTATTTTCACAAAGCATTATTGACATCCGTGCCTTATCTAATATTTTACTCCGCTCTATCCTTCGATTTTTTTCTTTCTGCCATTGTAACTTCTTTATTCTCCTTTCGCTTACTAACCTTCCAAATAATGTACACTAATTTCATATTTTTTCCATTTTTAATTTTCTTATATTGTTATTTTCAAAACAATTATTATTATAGTTTCTTCAACTTTCATTTAAACGTAAAGGCACATTATTGATCGCTCAAAGCTATGGCTGGATTTCAATACCAACAATTTTTACCGGAATGATCTTTTTTTCAGGATAAATGAATAATTTTGAACGCAAAATATTAATATCTGAATAAAGTAATTAACTTTTTTTTTAAATTGATTCATTCGAATATAACATTGAAAGTATGCAATATTAAATAACGGCAAACATAAAAAAATATCCTGCGAATATGCTGATGACCATCATGAGCTTTGGCGGGGTGCCGCAAAGCAAATGCTCTTTAAGTCTTTGTTGCTCAGATTTTTCGTTATCATGTCGCAACAAAGTAACGGCAGCCTGTTACCTAATAACTTCTCCATCAACGGGTCCAGTGCCCAGCGCAGGAAAAAACTTCTCGAAGTTTTTTCCAGCAGATGCGTTAGGCATCTATCCGCATAGATTTTTGGGACCTTTTTAAATTCTTTCGATCGCCAAAATTCAATGCAATCGGAATAGGTGAGGCGATTTCTCGTCTCACCAGGCTCTAACTTGATATAATCGTAGAGGGATATACTACAATTTATCATGACTTCTTTCGCTTCTGTCGCGAACTCCTCATTCTCGTACCAATATTCGTCAAAATCTGCTGAGTTTCTAAACAATCTGTAACTGGTGAATAGTGACATTATCATTTCGGCGTCGCTTCGTTGAAGCTCGTATTCTCTTTTCTCTAGGCGCTCGACGATATCTAGAATGGCGAAAGTTAGTTTTATTCCATGTTTTACACCAACTACAATACGAAAATGATATGGTTCACGAAAACAACTCGATGGTGGAAAAGTAAATCTTGATCGCTGAGCCCCGTAATCAAAGAGCACATCAATCATTTTCGGCGAGAGACAACACACAGACAATTCAAGAGGTGTCTGACCGAAATTGTCCCGGGCATCGATCTGCACAGGCTGATCAATGTCGGAGCAGATCTGTAAAAAATGCTTTGCCAATTCATGTTTAGCAGCTTTGCAAATGGAGTGCAATGGTGTGAATCCGTTTTCTTCTGGCACATTAGGATCAGCGCTTCTTCTCAGCAGTAATTCGGACACTTCATTGACGCGTTCAATCCCCATTTTTAACGTACGGTGTAATGCAGTGTAACCCGAATAGTCCTGCGCGTTGATCTGCACCGACTGCTCGATGTCATCGCAGATTTGAAAGAATTTTTCAACCATATGTTCATCGTTGCATATAACGTGAAGAAGAGTTGATCCATGCTTATCGACTATATTAGGATTAGCGCCTTTTCTCAGTAGGGATTCGACTATTTGCATATTTTCAGGGCTTTTCAGAGCCACATGAAGCATCGGTTCACCTGTTCTTGGCATGAGAACATTGGGATCGTGCCCGAAGTCAAGGAATCTCTTCACTATGTCATTAAATCCAGACTTGCATGCAGCTTGAAAATGCGTTAATCCATTTTCGTTAGTGTAGTTCGCGTCGAACTTATTGTAGATTTCGAAAAGATCCCTTACGTTGGAAATCATGTCATGTTCCGACGCAAAATGTATAGCAGTGTTGCGTCGTAAAAGTAGCTGGCCATCTTCATTGATGTCGGGCTCGTCCTGGTAGTTACAGCTAATTACAAACCTGATGAGTAAGTGCCGCTGGTAGCTGTAGGTAAGGCAGGCAGTCAGACCATCGAGTTTCTGAGACTCCAAGAGAAGCCAATCTATGTCTTCTTTTCGAAAAATTGTCCGGAGATCAGGAAGTTCGCCATCCCAAGGTTTAAGAATTGTATAAAGTTGACGGAGAAATTCACGTCGCTCGTCTTCGTCCTCCCAATTTACATTTGCTTTTAAACGTTTTAATTCGTTCAAGCTTGTGTACGTTTTAATGGATTCATGCTTTGGTACTTTCAACATTCTCCTGAAATGAAAAAAAAAACAGAAAAGTTACTATTTGCTATGCTTAATTTTTAATATGTCGAAATATGGGTTTCCGATGATCCTGCCAGGAAATATCCTGCCCATCGCAGGACAACAGGATGACCAAGGGAAACAGATCGACAATTTTCAATATTTTTATCTGAAATTTTTTTACAGCTTCAGCAATGGATAAACTTAGTTGTGCAAAAATTTCCAATTGATTGAAATTTTAGTTTTTAAAATAAAATTTTTCGAAAAAAAAAAAAAAAATTCCGTCACACAAAAGCTATTATGTAACCCTGTAAGTGTACAGGTCTAGGCTCCAAATGTAAAAAAAATAATTCAAGGATATTACTTTTTAACATTTGCTTATGAGCAGTATTAGATTTATTGTTTAGAATAGTTCATAAAAAATATTGACATTAGTACGGGTAGTAGATAAGTAATTTGATGCGCAATAAAGTGAGTATTTCGTAAAAGTATATATTCTAAGAAAAAACTTGTATAAACGTGAGATTCTGTACCGCGAGGGCGAACTGTAACAACAGCCGCGCGGGCCGAAATATCACGTTTTTACACATTCTCCGCTGTATTTCAATAAGTAACAATCACTAGCACTTTACCTCACTCACGCTCGTCCGTTTTCAGATTATTTATCAGAAATTTCGGGAGGGTGCAGAAATTTTAATAGATGTTTTAAACGTTAATGATTCAACATTCGTTGTGGAGTCTATTAAATAAAGTTTTTTATATTATAATACTACTATTATAATACTATTGTAGTCCTTTTTTTAACAATCGAAATCAGAAATTTTGGGGATCCAAGCGCTTTTTCAGCTTCAATGCGTAATTTATAAGTGATTATCACACTTTGAAGACTTGCACATTGATAGGAAATTTTCTTAGCTTTTGATTTGTACTATTTTAAAAAATCTTAAAAATACCCTATCTGAGATATTTAATTCAAAAAGTTTTCCGGCGAGTTATCCGGGAAAAATGGGAAATTTTCGAAATTCTGACTCTACCATCGGAAAGCTGAGATAATTCTCCATCGAAATGATGGTTTTTTTTTCTTCTTGGTATATTTAGGTACTTTTACACCGATTTACAAATTGGGTGATTTCGCCTAATAATATCATGCGAGCCTCGCGCTAGGAGACCTGTCGTGAAATGACTCATATCTATGATAGGATTATAATGAATAAAAATCTTATTGCAAAAAAAATGTGTGTATATTATATATGAAAATAATGCTTGTTTATAGACGTATGCAGTACAGAAAAGATAATCCTTGTATTGACTTGTCCTCAAATTAAATAAGACGCGCGACGCTTGATACATCCAATGAGATCAAAACAGTGCAAACCGAGAATTTTGAACATCAATTGTAACTTTTGTCTAAAATCGGAGTATGAATGTACGGTTTTTGGTGATACCAAAATTTCTCAATTGGGAATGAATGGTCATATTATACGTTCATTCACATCTACACGAAAAATGTATTTATTAATTTTAAAATAAGTTTAAATTAGTTGGAATAAATTTATTTATGAAAAAAAACCGATTGAACCAATGTTTGAAAAGATCAATTTTTATACTAACTGTTAGTAGAATTAGAATTGGAGATGTCATATTAGGCACTACGATGTATAAAAAAAAAAAATAAATTCTACGTTCCTGCGTTTACTAATGTGTCAAATAATATTTATAAGAAATTTTTTATTTTTAAATTAATTTTGGACTGAGACACAATTTGCTGAAAATCTGTCTATTTATTGACGATTCACTAAACAAAGCAAAGTTTTTGATTTCATGTTATTAGCTTAGTCTTGATTTTAAATCGTAAGGTAATATGAACTAGCGTCGTTCCTCGCTCGCTAACGCTCGCTCGGTCTCAGATTGTTTCAAAGAAATTTTAAGAAATATTGGAGGAGTAAGAATATTATAAGACATATTTATGAAATATTTAAATTTTGAACAATTTTAGATGTTGAGACATAATATAATATAATAGAATCATGTTTATAGATATATTATGTAATTGGTCATGATTCATTGAATACAAAATAACCCAAGAACTTGATAGATTTAACTTAACGAAACATCATCTCTCCTTCTCGTCTTAAATATAGTACAGTGACTTTCTAAAAGGGCATTAATTTGTACGTCGAAATAGGTCTATATGAAATTTGGAGATTAGTAGATTAAAAAAATAACTAAATAAAAAATTTGCTACACTTGAGTGGAAAAGAATTTAATTATAAAAATTTTGAAACCTAAAGGATCATTGATTAAATATTGATTAAATATTATCAAAATCATGTTGACAAGGACTTAAAAATTACAAG